GGAAAGAAGCTGCCAATGCAAATTTGTAGTTTCAAATGTAGATTTTCATTCTCTGTCATCTCTTTTGTAACTAATATTACGCATTCACCATAATTTTCTCAAAATTTTGGTTATAAAATGATAGGTCATAGTGGTTGATGCTGAGGCTTATACGTATGATGATGAAGTGATCAAGAAAGCCGAGTCTATGGGGAAGCCAGGGCTTGTTGATATCCGTGCAAAAGAGGACAGTTTTATATTCACAGTTGAATCTACTGGTGCCATTAAAGCTTCTCAGCTGCTTATGAATGCCATAGAAGTTCTGAAACAAAAATTGGATGCAGTTCGTCTGTCCGAGGATACTGTGGAAGCTGATGATCAATTTGGTGAACTAGGAGCTCATATGCGAGGCGGATAAGACGGTTAGCAGTAGGATAAACTGATACATTAATCACTGTTGATTAATATTTAACTATATGGAACATGTTTATACACTGTACTACCTGCATTACCCTTTTCTACTAGTTAGTGTCTTGCAAACTGAGTGGCTGCTTGATTTGTATTTTTATTTCATGTGCAAAGTTAGGCTCTTTGGTTATTGCTACATGAAATTTTTTTCTAAATTGATATATGTTTATGTATGGAATTTATTTATGAAAATATGTATAGTAGTGCTAAGATAAACAAGTTGTATTAGTCTTTTCTAAAAAATAATTTTTATATATACATCATTACTTCACAAACGAACATTATTCTATTTGTTTTCATTGGTCAATGCATGTATTGTAGAAAGTTTAAAAATGTAATTTTTTTTTAAAATTAGTTTTTAAATTCACATGCATATGATGTTTATCTAAGATCACATGAACTGTTGTATGCGTTTATACAATAATGAAGTATAAACAAAAGTCATTTACAACATGAGACGAAGCTGAACAAAATTTTAGATTGGAGTGGGTGGTCAGTCTATAGATCAGTCTTGATTTTGAAAACTTATAATCCCAACCTGGCCTTAGAAGAGTTAGACTTTGCTAGAACACCTTAGTGGATTTGGGTAATGGGTCTTCATTTTGGCTTGATTGATCCTAACAATGCCACCCTAATAGGCAACTGAATTTGGAGATTCATTAACTTAGACCTTGAGGGCGAGGGTGGCTTATGGCGCAACTACATTCGTATGAAAGTTGAAAACCTTTGCCATCAGGTTTGTTCTTACCTAAGCTTGTATGAAAGTTGAATAAGGATGATTGTTTTACAGTGAGATCTTTGTCTAATAAAAGAGTTGGGATGGTGAACCAGAAAGCATGTCTAGATAGAGCAGTTGCAAATCCATAATGTTGAGTTTTGTATCCAAATGCTCAAATTTGGCATCTTTTAGCCACATTCTCAGATCATAACCTTCTTTTAAAAAAAATAAAATGTATAACATGTATATTAATAAGGTACTAAAATGGGGGTACCGTACATGTAAAAAAGATTTACAAATGAGTTAAAGTGTCAATGACATTTACAAAATTATCATCACTACTAATGTCATGACTAAACAAAATAGAACAAAAATAGCAAATTCATATATTTTTTAGCCTTTTTAAATTACATTCTTTTCCAACAAAATCTGTAGCATTTTTCTCTTTCCAAATGACCCAAAAAATAGTTAATGGAATTTGATTAGCAATACATCATTTACAGCTCAAGCCATCCCACGCCCAAATTTCATCACGAACCTAACCTGCAACCACCCAATCAATCCCCAACAAACCATAAATCATGCACCAAAGGCTGTATGCAGCAGGACACCACAACAGAAGATGATTACATGATTTCTCTGCATTCAGACATAGAAGAAAACCATTAACAATGATTAGTTCCCTTGCTCTAAGTTTGTCCATAGTCAGAATTTTTCCCCAACAAGTCTCCCACGCAAAAAAGCAACTCGTTGGGGTGATTGTCTTCCAGATTTGTTTCCATGGAAAGTTCTGAGACCTGTCTGCAGCCCCCTCAACCAGAAATTTGTACTAAGAACGGACAGAGAAGCATTCGTTCTTTTCAAGATGCCAACTGATTTGATCTGACAATTGTTGACTTGTTGAGATGCCAAGAGCTTTAGCATATCTTCATAATCTCTCACCTCCCAATCATTTAGATTCCTTGATACGTTAATTGACCATACAATGTTATCATTAGTCAACTGGTAGGCCTCCTCTATCAACACGTTTCTAGCTCTTGATATGTCATAAATCCTCGGATACCTTCTCATGAGACATCCATCACCTGTCCAGTCATCATGCCAAAAGCTGATTTTATCTCCTTTCCCCAGCTTCCACCTGATGCACTCTCGAACCATGGCCATTGCACTATTATCTTCTTCCAAATACCACAACCATGGGAAGAAGAATGTTTGATACTACCATTATCCAGTCTCAATCTGCCCCACCGGGAATCCACAATTTTATGCCAAGATCTTCTCTCCTTATTCCAATACCTCCAAAGCCATTTCCCTTCTAGGTATCATTTCACAAAGATCAGTCTATTGATGATAATTTCTATAATTGCAAGAAGATGCACTCCAGTAGACTCAAGAAAGGAAAACAGAGTTGGGTTGCTATGAAATGTGATATGAAAAAGGTGTATAACTGAGTCAAGTGGGTCTTTCTAATGTCCATATTGAGACAACTAGGCTTTTCAGAATTAGCTTGTCACATTATAAAATAGTGCATCGCTACTGTATCTTATCGTATCTTGGTCAATGGAGTACCATACCCCTCGCCTTCATTTTTTAAAGTCCTGAGGATGGAGGATCCGCTCTCCCCATATCTCTTTATCTGGTGTACTAAAGCTCCATCGAGACTTTTACATCAGGAACATATTTTGGGAAACATTCAGGGTCTGCATATGATCCAAAAGAGTCCGAGGACCATACATCTTCTGTTTGTAGATTATCTTTTCATATTTAACCATGCTACACCACCAGAGATAAGGTCCATTAGGTACTGTATCTAAATGTACTGGTAATGGTCAAGTCAAGAGTTGAAGAAGCAAAATTCCATTTTGTACTCTAGTCCAAATTTGGTTGCTGAGCAATGAAGATCATTCTGGAATCAACTTGGATTGAGGAAAATGCAACCGATGCGTTTTACATTTGCCTCCCTATCCTTCTGTAATCTCGATCAAGATTTAATTTAAAAAATTGGTGTTTAAAACTCAAAATAAATTGGTGAGCTGGCAGAGTGCTACATTATCTTATCTCTAGTGTGTTACTCTCATCATGTCAATACTTATCAGCATGCCTATCTATTCCATGTCCATCTGGCTCCTTTCTGTTTCTGTTATGGATCATATTGCTATGAGATTTTGGTGGAATCAAAAACATGCACAGAGTTACAATTTTAAACCAATTGGCAGGAATGAGCTTTATTTTCCCAAGATTTATAGTAAGACTATGTTTCAAGCTTACACGTGAAATGAATATTGCTTTAATAACCAAGTTAGCATGGCAATTCTTAATACATTCAGACAAATTGTAGGTCAGGATCCTTCAATCTGAGTACCTAAAGCAGACACCCTATAGTTTGGGATATATTAGACCTTTGGTCTCCATGATCTAGAGAAGTTTAATATAAGTCAGACCTTTTCTCTTTCACGGATTATATAAGACTTGCTAGTAACAAATCAGTAAGTATATGAATTGATCGTGGACTCTTATCCATAGCTGGATTTATAGCACCAGGGCAAAAGGTCAGGAGTCTAGTTTTCATAAGTCAGCTCATTTAAACACAAAGAAATGCATCGGATGCTCGGCTCATTCAAGAAAACTTTCCAGAGACAACAGCTAATGCAATTATAAGATTACTCATTTGTCCTACACAGGATTAGTATGACATGGAATATGCTGCGAACAAATAGTACTCAGTCCATAGTGGGTACCTACCTGCTCTATAGGAAGGCCGCTTTATGCCAGAATGAGTAAAAGTTTGTAGCCTGTGGCACATTCTAGAGAGACCTTTGGCATACTTGGCAACTGAAGTGTTACTAGTATTTCTGGAGAATCTGTACATGAATGTTGCTTAGATTGGAATTCATCCACAAACAATGTGTACTATGCAAAAGTAGAATAGAAACCTATCTTCATGTGTTCCTCCATTGTCCATTTTCAGAGCAGTTTGGTTTTCTTCACCTTGGGGCTCTCTCATGGACATATTTGGGGATACTACCATCTATTCTTATATCTAAAGATTGGTCAAACAACAGAAAACTTGGAGGACACCTGTAGATCCTTGGCATCATATTATGATTCATGCAACTATTATGATGGATCCATTACAATATTGTCGTAATTGTATTATGTTTTCTGATGCTACTTCAGACCTGTAAGGGTTCTTGGCAGCATTGCAAAATTGTTATTAAGAAGTTTGTGTCATTACATTGCCAAAGCAGAGGCTATGGGACATGTTATGGGATGGACAACTCACTTTGCACTCTCATGGTTCGACACAAGTATGGTCTATTTTCTGTGTCATTTCCTCGTCACGAGATGAAACTTACCTAGCAATATTACTCACAACCCAGACATACGATG